TACTATTGTTGTCCAGTGCCGTCAAGTCCATTCTGACTCATAGTGACCCTGTATAGGGTTTCCAAGGAGTGACTGGTGAGTTTGAACTATCAACCTTTTGGTTCAAATTGACTTTGAGGTTGAGGGCTTATCCTATGGTGCCACACCAGGACTCTGTTGTTATATGCTGTCAAATTGGCTTTGACTGTGCCTAACAAAGGAGTCCTGGTGGGACGCTGCAGGATAATGCACTGGACCTAAAGGTCAGTTTGAACTGCAAGGTTGGGGGTTCAAACTCACCAGACACTCCTTGGAAACCCTATATAGGATTGCTATGAGTCAGAATTGACTCAACAGCACTTAACAACAACAACAACATGCACAACAAAAGAATGCTCACAACTGTTCTTATGTTTGAGCCTGTTGTTGCAACCATTATGTCAAACCATCTCATCTTTTCCGATGACCCTCTATGCCTGTGCCTATGTTATTGTTGTTAGGTTCTGACTCACAGAGACCTTGGATAGGGTTTCTGAGGAGTGGCTGGTGAGTTTGAACTGCTAACTTTGTGCTTCAAACTGACCTTGTGGTCCAATGCTTATCCTATAGTGCCATACTCCTGTTCCTATGTTGTTCCTGTTAAGTGCTGTTGAGTTGGTTCAGACTCAGAGTGACCCTGTATAGGGTTTCCAAGGAGTGGCTGGTGAGTTTGAACTGACGACTTGTGATTCAAACCAACCTTGAGGTCCAGTGCTTATCCTATGACACTATACCTGTGCCTATAGGTAGGGGGAAAACCTTAATGTTTGTCACTGATTCCTATGCGTCATACATGAACTCTTTAGTTACTAGAAGGTGGGAAGTTTGGCAGATCCTGGTGGAAAGATTGGAGCTGCCAGGGTAGTGAAGGATCATTTGGATTGGGGAACAGCCGTAGGGATGTTATAACAGTGTGGTCATGCTGATGTGTATTGGAGGCACCAAATTGGGCAAATCAGCCTTATTCCATGAGCATCCTTGAACCCCTTCCTGTCTGGCCTCTACTATTTAGGCCTTGGCGTTCTTCATGGCAGCCTGGGGGCCCCAGACAACCAGTGCAGACAGGGCTCTGATTAATTACAAGTCGGCTCCAGTGAAACAATGATCCAGTAGCAATTCCAGCCAATTAATGAGGGGGCCCAGGAGAGGAGCCATCCCAGGGAGCATGGTTACTCTCAGTCACACTGGGCAGGAAGAGACGCTATCTCAGCCTCTTGGGACTCCCCCTGTGGTGGGGAGATAAGTGTGCACGCCACACTGACCAATTCGGTGACAAGGTGTACAAAGTAACATCTGGGAGCCCAGGGGTACAGAGGAGCAGGAAGGCCTGAGGACATGGTAAAGATGATTGTGTACTGACCATTAACTTTAGTGCCAGCCACTGTGCCAATTGGTTCATATCATGACCTTATTTAATCCTCTGAACAACTCTAATTGAGAGCAGTATGATTATTCCCATTTTATAGATGAGGAAATTGAGGCTCACAGAGGTTATGTACTGTGCAGAGCTAACGGTCAGTGAGTAGTGAAACCAGGATACCATTCCAGGCTCATCTTACTTAAAAATCTCTGTTGTTCATCACCACCCCACACTGCCTATGCATCTAAGAGAGAGCAGGTTCAAATCTATCTCTGCCATCAATCTCCTTTCTGTGCCTTAGCTTCTTGCCTGGAAAATGAGGGTCGTGGTTCCTGCTTTGCAGGGCTGTTGTTGAGATAATGCATGTAAAGTACCTGGTGCGGAGTAGGTGCCTGCTAATTGGCAGTAAGTGGTATTACTGCCAGCAGAGATTGTAAAATTTGGGAAGTCTGAAAAGCCCAGGGTCAGGGGAGGTCTAATGATAGAGGTCAGCAGTGACCAGGGTATGAAGTACCTTGAATGTACAGTCGTTTGGACTTGGTACAGAGAGCAGTGAGACATGCCAGGGCTTTTAGACTGGGGAGTTCCTTCCAGGTGCAAAGCACGGTGCTCATTTCTGGGAGTGTGGGCACTAGCTTGAAGGCCATGGTTGTCATCTGTATGGTGGGCACTACATTCCTGGTGCCGATGGTTAAGGCGCTTGGCTACTAATCAAAAAGTGGGCAGTTGGAACCCACCAGCTGCTTCTTGGCAGAAAAGTCCTGGCGATCTGCTTCATAAAGATTAAAACCAAAGTCACCAAACACACTGCCATGAAGTCATTTCTGCCTAAAGACTGTAAATCTTTACAAGAACAGACAGCCTGATCTTTCAACCAAAGAGCAGCTGGTAGATTTGAACCACAGACCTTTTGATTAGCAGCCCACAGGGCCCCAAAGGCACTGCTAAGTGCCATTGAATTGGTTCCAACTCATAGAGACCTGTATAGGGTTTCCAAGACAAGGTTGGTGGATTTGAACTGCTGACCTCCTGGCCATCAGTCCTCTACTTCTTACAGCACCACACCAGGACACCCATAAAAATTAAGAGTCTAAAATACTCTTTGGGACAGTTCTGCTCTGCCCTGTAAGGTCACAGTGTCTCTGAATTGATTTGATGACACACAATACCGATCTTTGGAAGGCACAAATACTACCAGAGAGGTGTCCTCCAAAGGCACAGCCCAGGGGGCTCTGTGCCCACATAACCACTCCTTGGCCAGCTTGGGTCAGAGAAGTTCTTGAGAAAGCCCCAAGTGGGGAGCTTCAGCACCAGCAGGAGCTTGGGGCAGCATCCATAAAGGGCTAGGTGCGCTGGCAGACTTGCACCGAGGCCTGCGTGTAGCTGGCACGAGGTGCAGCTGGCACGAGGTGCGGCCTGCGGGATGGGGAGGTGGTGGTGGCGGCGATCTGAGTTTGGAAAGAGCTTTCACAGGCAGCGTGGGGGAGCGGGCCCAAGGGGAAGAGGCTGGAAGATATCAGAGCGGAGGCTGAAGCCAGATTTGAGGCTGGGGCAGTGAATGAGCGGGGAGAAGGGAGGCTTCTTGGAGAAAGTGTTGCGAAAAACTGGGAGAGATTGAGGCTACTGGTCCAGTTCTTAAATTCTTGGGTTACGAAACCCAATCCCTTCCACAGACCAAGCCCCCAGTGCCTTTTGCACATCTGGCGAAAAAAGCTCGCGCCCTCTGCCAGAGTCACCCAAAGAGCTTCTGCACGTGGCTGCCACCGCCCTCAGCTCGGCAGAGCTCAGGCTGTCCCCGCCCCCTGCAGATGCGTATTTGCATAATTTACATAACAACCCGCCCAGTTGCCAGGGACCCTCCAGCCTTCGACACCTCCCTGCGCCCCCTGCCGGTCACAGACGGCTCCTCAGTACAGTGCCGCCACCCCGTCGCCGGGCGCCCCCTGTTGGCCACGGGAGCCCCAGTGTACTAGAAAAGCAGGCCTGACCCAGTTATCCCGGAACCTGCAAGGTCAGGCCCTAAATCCGAAGCCCAGCATGGGAGGACCGTCACCATCTGGGCCACCATGTCTTCCAATGTCGTTCCTGACTCGGAACTTTCGCTCTTCAGTGCTTCTGAACCATCATCTGCTTTAACCAGCAATCCTTTCCCACCTAGCCCTCCAAAGGAACTCTGCCAAGGCCCGCTCCAACATCCCCCTCCTTCCCGCCCCACCCTGGCGGGGTTCAGCCAGCGTCACAGAATGCCTGGGGGCGTTTTTTGAATCTTGATGGTGATGAGTGGGGGGGCTCAGGCTGGTTCCTCTCACTCTCCGCCTTCCCTTCCCGCCCCCCAGGCCATTTACAAAATGGTTTCGTCCGTGATGAAGATGCCAGAGGACGAGTCGACCCCGGAAAAGAGGACTGAGAAAATCTTCCGCCAAATGGACACAAACAACGACGGTGAGGGGGCCGGGCAGGGCGGGCGACCGGCTTTCTCCTTCCCTTTTCGGCTGTCCTGAACCGCCTTCTCCCCCATCACTGTTCCCTTCTTCCCGCAGGCAAGCTGTCCCTGGAGGAGTTCATCCGCGGAGCCAAGAGCGACCCGTCCATCGTACGCTTGCTGCAGTGCGATCCCAGCAGCGCCTCCCAGTTCTGAGCAAGAGGAACCGACCCACGCTCCTCGCAGCCTTTACCGGCCCTCAGCTTCCCCTTCCCTCGTATCTACCCGGGTCCAGGCTGGGGGCCAGACTGGGGAATCTCTCCCAGGGTCTGCACTGTGGGACGGGGCGGGGCGGGGGAGGGGCCTCTGGAGAAGGAACCCTTGCCCAAGTCAGCAGGCGGTTAGCATGCTCCAATCCGTTAGGCAAAATCTCCTATCCCCAATGATAGACACAGGCACCTCAGAGTCAACCACCCTTCCCCCACGATCTTGATATCATTAACTGCCCCCCACACAGCCAACAGGAGGCCAGAGCTCCCCACCTAGTAGGTTTCAGCCTCAGGGGGAGGGGAGAAGTATTGCTCAAGTGCCCAGATGAGCCTACTTTTCTATTTGGAAAGGAGAGGATTCCATGGGTGAGGTTGGAGGAAGAAGCTTCCTTGAACCACCCATCCACATAGGGGCCCTCAGCCCTTCCTGTCCCAGCTCTTTCTGACCCCGGGAACATGGTACAATAGGGAAATCTCCCAGCATTCCACCCATCAACTATGTGTCTCATTAGCCCCCACCTGGACCAACTTGGACCAACACAGCCAGACACACACACAGACCAACACATCCCTTGGTATATTTTGCCTCTCTCATGAACATATAGGCCCATGGACAGATGGGCAGGTGCACCCAGAGCCCATGGCTCAAGCATCCCATGTGGGGAAGAAGCACAGGCCCCTGGCTGAGCCCCCCCCCCCCCTGCCCTGCATGCATCCACGTGGAGCATTCTGTTCTTTTTAATAACTTCGGAATAAAGTCTTGATTCAGTGCAGTGGACTGGGTAGCTGGGGAGAGGGTCTGAAAAGCCCCACCCAGGTGCCCGAGTGTCCATTGAGTCCTCTTGGGCTGGCTCCAGGGATCCTGGCCTGGTCACAGCGCAGACTTGGTGCAAGGACCCTGGCAGCCACAGGTCTGGTGAGGCATCAACCTTCAGAGGGTCAGGGGCTCTGCGCTGGTGCAGCTCAGCAGGTCGTGGCCCTCCAGGGGCTCTGGGCGCTCCTGAATCTGGGGAGATGCAGGAAACTGCCAGGTCTGCTCAATCCGGGTTTCTTCCTCCAGGACACCCAGGGAATTGGGAGGGGAGGTATCTGGGAGGACCCCTGGGGGCAAGGGAGCATCGCTGCTCTCCCCCATGCACAAAATGCACAAATTAAGCCAGAGCCTTGAGGTGCCTGTGTCCCCACCCCCCTCACCCCCCATTCAAGACTCATCCTGGATTTTAGGAAAGCCAGGTGTCAGCTGTGTGGATTAGCTGGGAGTTTTGAACTCTGAGCCTCCACACCTCTCCTCTTGGTCCCAAGGGGTGGGAGGAAAAACTGTTTCCACAGTTCTCAAGGTGGTCAGGTCCCTGAATAGAGGGGTGGGGGCAGACCAGGCTGATTCTCCAGCAGGGGCTCCCAGGGGGAGTCAGGTCTTACCGGGTGGAGGTTGCTTTTCCCCCACCAGGGCCTCAGTTCCAGCAGTTGGTGGGCAAGCTGGGCACAGCGTACAGCAAATACACTCTCTGCCACACAGAACACCAGTGCGATTCCCCAGAGGCACAAGCTGGAGCTCTGCAGTGGGCACAGGGGCAGAAATGGGCGTCAGGGGCTGGGATCCCAAGAGCCTTTTACCCCCAACCTGAAAAGCACCTCCCCAAGACCCAGGCACTCACATAAATGCGTGTGGGGTCAAAGGGACAGTTGGGTGCGAGCACCAGCAGTTCAGGATTTTCGAAGGTGCAGGCGGCCAGCAGTGCCCGGCCCTGGGTGGCAAAGGTTACAGCGATCGAGGTCAAGAGGCCAAGGGCACAGGTCAGTGACAGGAGGGCACAGACCACGCTTGAGCTGAACACTGTCCAGCGCTGAATGAAGAAGGCCACTGGTCAGTGGGCATCAGGCTTGGTTCCTATGGGCAGCTATGGCATCCTGAGGGTCAGCCTTGACTCCCCCTCCCCACAGGCCCTGGGAAATTTGCTGTCCCTACTCCCCTCTCCATCCCCCCATCCAGAAAGGCACCACATACCAGGGGGATGCTGGGCAGATATCGAGATAGCACGATGGTGACAATGCCTGAGGTGATAACCTGTAGGGAGGCTTGGGTCAGTCCTGGGTGGTGGTGGTTGGGGACAGGGATCAAGGCCCACACTCAGATCAAGTTTCTAATGCCAACTCCTTCCACCACTGCTTAACTTTGGCCTCATTACCTCCATCTGCAGTGAGGCACTGGCTCCTCCTGGTATAGCCTCCACACAATCCTGGAGCCATGTTTCTAAAATATAATTGTTCCCTGTCTACAACCTTCCATGACTCCCCACTGCCTCCATCTGAGCATATACCATGTGACATGTCTCCCTGGAGAGCGAGGATTTTCAAAGGGGAAAATTTAACTAACTGGCAAAGAACTGAAAACAAAATTGGTACATTAAAACAAACCTGAACATTTTATGGAGCAGAATCTAAATCCTCAGGAATATTTTTAATTAGGCTCTCTGTGACCTGACCCCAGTCTCAACAATATCTTAACTGCCCCCTGAGCTAGTCTCTTCCCTCATTGCCCTGGATCCCAGTACCTACATGGAGCCTGCTCATGGTGCTACTATATGGTTGTTGTTGTTGTTAAGTGCAGTTGACCCACACTGACCCTGTATAGGGCTTCCAAAGAGTCGCTGGTGAGCTTGAGCTGCCAACTTTGCAGCTCAAACTGACTTTGCAGCCCAACGCATTAGCCCACAGCGCCACACCAGGACTCCACGTGGTACCTCCTTCCTCCTCTCCACCTGGCCAGTTCCTTCAAGCCCTGCTCAGATTCTTCCTCCTGTGGGCCACCCTCAATTTGCTACGGTATCCTTCCTACCTGCCATCCTCCTTGAGATCTCTCACAGGACCAGATCCATGAGGGGCAGTGTGACAATGGGTGTTCCAGGTTCAAGACCCAGCAATGCCTTTAATTCACTGTGCAGCCACAAATTAGTGCCCCAAACTCAGGGCTAAGTCCCACTCTGCAGAATGGGATCATAGAAAGGCCACTAGCTTTGATGTCATGCACAACTAGGTTGAAATTCCCATTTGGCTCTTTTGTATCAGCAGGTTAGATGAGTCAGTGGGTCTCGGGTTTCCTTCTCTGGAAATGGGGATAATAATGGCTCCATGTTGCTGGGAGCAGTGAGGATTGACTGGTCCAGCCCCCAAAATCCAACCGTGGTGAGCCTCTTCAACCTGAGTCCACTGCCCTCCCTGCCTTCCTCACCACAAACAATAAGAAGAGTAACACCACTGTACACAGCTGCACAGCCCAGTCCTGTCCTGCGCACTGAGGCTTCCCTACTCGCTGGGTCCTGCGATCCTCATTCACCCAGGCCTTGAGGCTAGCAGGCTGTCTGAGCTTCATCCTGCAGGAAAGGAATCAGGTTCAAAGGGAGAGGTGGTACGGCTGGAAAGGATATGCTAATATGTAGATGTTTCCCAGAGGTTGTGACTGCCTCTGCTGCTGAGCAGAAAAATGTTATAAACCTAAATGTATTGGGCTCCTTCATTAGCATATCCATCAGACAGTGATGTCCTGTCATAATCATGGCCACAATTTATTGAGCACTTACTGTATGCCAACCCTGATGCTAAACTCCTACCAACTAAATTGGCTTTCTCAGTGTCCCCAGAATAAGTCTTAGCCATTCCCACCTCCAACCCTTTACACATGCCATTTTCTCTGCTTGGAATGCCATTCCAGCTTCCTCTCCTACCTGCCAGTCCCAGCATGCCTCATACCTGGATTAAGGTAATTACATGTGAACTCCTACTCATCCTCCAATACCCAGTTCAGGGTCATCCACCTCTGTGAAATCTTCCTTAACCCTCCCAAGCTGAGCGGATGTTCCTCCCTACTGTCTAAAAGTGCCTTGACTATTCTCTATTGCAGTAATAATCTCAGCTTACAGTACAGAGCAACAGTAACGTGCCAGGCACTATGCTAGAAGATCTCCTTCAGTACTCACCAGGATCTTCTTAGGTGGACACTTACTGTCCCTGTTTTATAGATGAGGAAGCTGAAGCAAGGAGGAGCAGAGCAGGCTTAGTACCTGGGTCTCTCTGCTTACCCACTCCAGGCTCTGGATGAGGACTCATCAAAGACCTTCAAGTCCCCTCTAGTTCCCTCCCACCAGTGGCCCTCCCAATACTGTTTGGCCATACCATGATGGCAGAGGTCACAGAGAGGATGTTGACCACGCAGTACTGAAGAGCCACAGCATCATGGGGGGTAGCCACATAGCGCAGCACAGTGCCATGGAGCAGAGCAGCTGCGATGAAGCTCACGTGACCCAGTACCACCTGCACCAGTCCCGTCTTCATCAGCATCTTCCGGAAGTCACCCACACTCAAGCCGCCTGTGAGGGGACAGCTGTATCAGGGCCATGGGTGAGTTCATCCCTAGGCAACGGAGGACACTGAGGATTGGCAGGTGTGGTGGATGTTGGGTTCTAATCCTAGTTTTGCATGACTTGGGGCCAGTTATTTGTCTTCTCTGAGTCTTTGTTTCCATAAAGGCATTCTTACAACAAATGAAAATGAGAGACCTTAGGAGGGTTAAGTGAAATAAGACTGGAAAAGCACACAGGTGGTATTTAATAAAGGGTAAATAGTGCTTGTTGGAAGGCGCTCTGGTAGTGTAGTGGTTACAAATCGGGCTACTAACCTCAAGGTCATCAGTTTGAAACTACCAGCCACTCTGGAGGAGAAAGATAAGGCTTTCTGCTCCTGTAAAGATTTATAGCCTTGGAAACCCTGTACAGGGTTGCTATGAGTGGAACCGACTCCATGGCACATAACCACCGATCCTTGTTGGAAGGGGCCCTGATGGTGCAATGGTTAAGTGCTTGGCTACTAACCAAAGGCCAACAGTTCAAACCCACCAGTGTTTCCACAGGAGAAATGCCATGTTCTTGAAAAGACTGTTGTTTTTAAGTACTGTGGAGTCGGTTCTGACTCATAGTGACCTTGCACAGGGTTTCCGAGACTGTAAATCTTTATGGGAGCAGAATGCCTCATCTTTCTACCGCTGGTAGTTTCGAACCACTGACCTTGCGGTTGGCAGCCTGACTCGTAACCACTATGCTACCAGAGCTCCTTTTGAAAAGATTGTTGTTGTGATATGCCGTGTAGTCGATTCAGACTCATAGCGACCCTGCACAGGGTTTCCAAGGCTGTAAATCTTTACGGGAGCAGAACACCTCATCTTTCTCCCAAGGAACAGCTGGTAATTTCGAACTGCTGGCTGTGAGATTAGCAGCCTGATTAGTAACCACTATGCTAAAATATTAGAGCCTTGGAAATACTTTGGGACAGTTCTACTCTATCATATAAGGTCATTATGAGTCAGAATCAGGCGCATAACAATAGACCTTGTTGGGGGCAGTGAGGGTTCAAGTGATAGAATTCTTACCTTTCACTAGAGGAAACCTCATTCAATTCCCAATCCATGTACCCTAAGCACAGCTACCACCCTTCTGCCATTGGAAGCTTGTGTGTTGCTATGATGCTAAACAGGCTTCATTGGCACTTCCAAACTAAGACAGGAAGAAAGGCCTGGTGATCTAGTCCCAAAAAATCAGCCAGTGAAAACCTGATGGACCACAACAGTCTGATCCCATTGTGCATGCCAAGAATAATAATTAATGCTAGTGTTCAAGTTCATACATAGCAGGGCCAGGATTTGAACCCAGGTTTTCTGGTGTCATATCTCACGATCCTTCCACTAAGCCCCTATTCATTGATTTGCTCATTCATGTGTTTGTTTCACTGAGCACCTGTTCTGTGCCAGACCTTGGGGGTACCACAGTGGCTTTACAGTCCAGGTCTCAAAGCCAGAAGTCCATTGTGCAGAGTTAGGTTGGGCATTAGTAGCTACTCAATACTCAACTGCAGAGCTTGGTAACATAAAGCAAGTCCCTCTGCTTTTCTGAGCCTTTATTTCCCCGTCTGTAAACCCCTCCTGTTCTTGTCTCCTAGTGGGGAGGGAAGATCCCATAAGAAATGGATGGGAACGTGGGGCAAGCTAGGACAGGCTGGCTGTCAATTCAGGGGGTACTGGATAGGCACAGCGGGGAGTGGTGGCTGCAGGGGCCAAAAGGACACTAGGATTCATGCACAAAATCTTTCTGAGCAGTAAGCAGCTGCCCAGCTCCTCTCTGCAGACTTCCGGAAACAGGAAGCAGGCTCTTCCAGATCTGCTTTCTGGAATTTTCCTCATGGATTTAAGTTTTGCCCGTTAGGGTACACACCATGCAGGTCACCTGACCCAGAGCCCCCTCACTCTAACCACCAGTTAGACTGAAAGGCTGTGGTCAGGTCCGCCAGAATTAAACAGCGTCTACTTCCTTTAGGGTGTCCTGGTATGATGCTGTGGGATAAGCACTGGACTGCTAACCACGAGCTGCTCCTTGGAAACCCTATAGAGGGTCACTATGAGAACCAACTTGAAGGCACTAATAGTGGGACGTGTCTTTGGGTCCCTTCCTAGACTTCAGTCTCCATATCATAGATGGAAGTTCTGGGGTTAAAAACAAATAGTAAAATCACTTAGCAGTCCCCAAGGAGTAGGGCAGGATGCAGTCACTCAGCCACTGACCTGCTCTGTGATCTTGTACAAGCCCCACCTCTCTCTGGGCTCCAGGTTCCCCATCTGTAAAATAAGGGGGGGGGTCTCTGAGACCCCCTACCTGCAGGGCCTTCTGGAATGGACCAAGTCTAGAAGCAGAGGCCAGATCATGGGCTGAACAGGCATGTGAATCTGGAATGGTGTTGTAAAGATTAACTGCTAGTCAAACAGGAAGGGGCATGGCTGCCTGTCCCTAGTGGCCTGGCCCACCTCGCCCCATCCATCCACCCACCTGCAAGGCCAGACACCACCCAACCCAACCAGCAGCTACAGCAGCACTCCAGGACAGGAGATGCAGTGCTAGCTGGGGGCACTGGACAGAGCGCTTCAGGCCAGTCCCTGGCTTCTTCATTCTTGGAGCACTTAGAACTCTGGTTGGTCACCAGGGCTGTCTGATACCCAAAAAGCAGCATCAATGTGCCAGGAAGTAGGGAACACATCAACTCTGTCCCTCTGCTTCAAGTCCAAATGGCAGATGGTATGTCCCTAAAGGCTTTGGGGAAGGGAGACAAGGGAGGGGGTGGTCTGTAAGTAGCAGCAGCCCTTTGTGGGGGAAGGGGGAAAGCAGAGATCTGACAGACAGCTTTCATGAGAACTCCCTTAGCCAGGATCTCCCTCAGCTCTCCCTTTCGGAGCCTTCCTTCAGTGGCTCTTCTCTCTAGGGGTAGAGGCAGTTCTGCCCCTCCATAAGAAAAAAAAGTAGGGGTGCAGGCTAAGATGCCAGAGCCATACTAGGAGCCCTCCTTTCTCCATCTGATTACTAGGGAAACTAAGGCCCAGAGAGGCCACATAGGAAGGTAGAGGTAGAGAAAGAGGCTGGGACCCTGGGGTTTCAGGTTCCCACTACATAGTACTTAGCCCCTGCAAGAGGATTTGGGTTTGGGACAAGTTGGGGCCTCCCGAGCCCCCTGGCTCCCGCCGATTACCTAGGCGTAGACACATCTTGGCTCCTGCGCGGGCTCGCCTCCGACTGGTGTCAGCGCGGCTCCGGAGGCTGTGGACCACCGGGGGGTCCCGCTCCCATCCTCAGTGCGCTGCCCGCCAGCTCGCCTCCTGCGCACCCCGCAAAGTCCGCCGCGCCCACTTCCCGCCGCGAACTGGGGCTGGTTTGCGCCGGGCCAGCCTCCCTTCCCGTCACCCCCTGGGAGGCCCGCGACTCGTTTGCATCCCGGGCCGGTCTGACCGGCTGGACAGCCTTCCGGGGCCCGCCCGCTGAGTCACGGCGCTGGCCCCACCTACCCGCCCCGTCCCAGGCTTGACGCGGACCCCATTCCGCATAGCCCACCCCCACTTGCGTTACCCTAGGACATTGCAGATGGACATGAGGCGGGGTAGTGCAATGGGCAATTGAACAAGTTAGCTGTGATTTCATAAAAGTCATCACTGTTGCTCCCTGGGTCTCAGTTTCCCCAAGATTGCCCGAGGGTGAAGTCTGGGAATCCACCTCTTTCTGGAGGCTATGGTGGTGAAAAGAGCTCTGTACTGAGGGAAAGGAGAGGACCAGGGTGGCCTCAGGCAAATCACTTTCCCTCCGGAGGACTGTACTAGGCAAAGAAGACTCCTGGGATGGGAGTCTCAGGGACTTTAGAGACCAAAGTGCGTCTCCTCTCCAACTGTGTGTGTGTGTGTGTATTGGGGGTCTGTGTTTCCTCGCGGAAAAATCAGGGGCAAGGGAGGCAGGAAGATGGGCGCACAGGGTTATGAAAGTACTTTAAATATCTTTTAACTTGATGGCTGGCCTGCAAGAGCTCTTAAAAGTTTTCAAGAGCAAAGATATCAGTTTGAGGCCTAAGGTGCACCTGACCCAAGCCATAGTATTTTAATAGTCTCATATGCGTGTGAAAGTTGAAGAGTGAATAAAGAAAACCATAAAAGAATTGTTGCATTTGAGTAGTTAAGGTGTTAGAGAATATTGAAAGTATCACAGACTGCCAAAAGAACAAACCTATATGTGTTGGAGCTCTGGTAGCGTAGTGGTTACGAATCGGGCTGCGA